CCCCCCCCCCCCCCCCCCCCCGCCGCCAAGCTCCAGAGGCGCCGGGAAGCAGGTGATTACAGCGGAGAGACGTTTTCTCAGGCCAGGAGGCACCTGTCATCGCGCCGGCGTCTCTCACCTCGGGGCGACGGGCCCGGGGTTTCACACCTGCCCCGGTGTCCGTGCCACCTGCACACCCAACCCCCCTGCTTCTGGAGGGGACAGCCAGGCTGGTGTGCAGGGAGGGGGGCAGGCGGAGGGGAGATAGGCTGACACTCGGGAACGCAGGTGATGGTGCAAGATGTGGCGTCGGAGCGAACCGGGGCTGTCCGTGTGCATCCAGCAACCTAGTGAAGGAGCCTTCTCTGCGTTCTCGGCCCCACCCCACGCCTGCCTCTCTCCTCCCGCAGTAGGTTGGGCCGGCGCGGCTGTTTGGCAAAAAACCCGGGGCCAGAATCAGCAGTGAGTTCCTCTGGGGTGGAACCAGAGAGACACGAATGGAGTCACTCTGGATTTACACCAATCACCGCACTCTGGCCCTTGTGGATCACAACCAGATCAGAGTCTGGTCTCATTTCCCGCCATGTTACATTTGGAGTGACTCCACCGGAGGCGAGGGAACCGCTCCAGATTTACCCTGGTTTCACCCAGGGCTGCATCTGGCCTCATGTGTCCGTCTCTGGGTCACTACAAAGCCCGACGAGGCTTAGAACTGAAACCCAGGCTTGGTTTCGCTTTTGGGACGGGTGCCACTTGAACTTTCTGGAGCAAGGCTGGCTCTGGGTGACGCGGGCTAACGGCCCTGTCACAAGAGGGGGAGCAGCCCGCCCGGACTCCAGCAGTCCCAGTTACACGCCCGAGGAAACGAAGTGGGTCGCTTTCACTTTCTGCTACAGCCGTTTTGCTTGGCAGCCGCGAGAGACAAAACCCGGCCGTGCGATTTGGCAGCTACTCTGCAGAGTTAATAGCCTCGCCCACCCCAGGACTGGGCCCCTCCTTTGTGGGGTTTCACTCCTGTGTGTGGCTGCATTTCTGGATTTGAACCTAGGCCCTCTGGAGCTTAGCGTAGGCGTTTCTACAGCATGAGCTACGAAGCCAGCTGGCACTCAGCTCAGGCTGTTTGAGCTAAAACTTGTTCTTATCCCTCGCCGTACGTGGTCTCAGAGCCACGGCACGGGACAGCGAACCCCACGAGCGGGGCCACTCTAGGGGTGTGTCTAGACTACAGGGTTTTGTCGATGAAAGTGGACTTTTGTCGACCAAACGATACCTGCGTCTACACTACCCCCGCGTTCTGTCGACAGTAAGTCGACCGAACGTGGCAGTTTTGTCGATGGCGGTAAACTCATTCTACGAGGAAGAACGCCTTTTGTCGATAGAATTCTGTCGACAAAAGGCGCGATTGCGTCCACACTGCTTTTTCAAAAGAGAACGTCGAGACTCTCTGTCGAAAACGCGGCTTGCTTTGGCGACAGAACGGGCTGTAGTCTGGACGCTCTCTTTCGACAGAGGCTTGGTTGACAGTATCTGTCGACCGAAGCCTGTAGTCTAGACGTACCCAAGGATTCTTCGCCAGGCAGCTGGAGCGAGAATTTGTCCGCCCTTCTGGGCAGGGTCTGGGAATTGTGGGACAGCGCCGGAGGCAAATCCAAGCTGTTTCCGCTCTTGCCTGCAAATGCAGTGGAGGGGCTACCCGGGGCTTTTGGCGCCGAGACGTGTTCGGATTCTTCCCCAGCCAGTAGGAGGCGAACTGCTCTGTCCTTGCAAGAGGAATTGGGGGACTCTCATCAGCACGCCAGGGGTGTGGCTGGAGTTAAAGGAGAGCCGCAGGTCTCCACACCCAGGTCAGAGAGGGGGTGCTTTTTGGGGGGAGGTTTGAGCTAAAACTTGGGAAAGAGCCTGGGGTAACTGCAGGGAAAACAGGCAAACGTAGGGGTCAGGATTACGTGTGGCTGGCAGAAGCAGGGTGAACTCCACAGCAATGAGACACCCTGCTTGGCAAATCCTCCTTCAGCCCTTCTCCAGCGGGGGGCAGTTCCCTTCTGGGCCCCCGTTCCCCTGCCCCCCGCCCCCCAGAGCGGTGTGTGGGGACGGGCTGGCGTATGCCCTTGCTTGGAAGGCTAGTGCCTCTCCGCTTTCACAGACCAGCTGGCTCCCGGGGGAGTTGGCTTCTCCCTGCCGCAGGGACGTGAGTTAAGGGGGAGGGTGTTTCCATGGGTGGGGGAACAACAGGCCCCTGAACTCTTCCCATTCAATGTGCAGGCAACCCCTCTAGTTTTAGGGAAAGCGGAACCCGCCTGGGCTGGTCTCCACGGCAGCTCCGCAGCCCACTTCCTCTGGGCGGGGGCGCCTCTGTCTGACAGTAAAGGGGTCCCGGGTCCATCGGTTCCCCCGACTGCCTTGCCGCATGCTTACCGCCGTGCCTGGTTAACCGTCGCCCGGCCGGGCCTGTCACGCTGCGGGGGGCGCGGCCGGCTGGTTAACCCGTTCGTTTATCGGGTTACCATGGTCGGCGGGATTGGACGGCCCTGGCTCTCGCACCCGGTTGTCGAGAGACGTGAATGCCCCAGCACTGGGTTCCTCCCCGCCTAAGGGACGTGATCCGCTAATCTCCTGGGGCTAACCAGTTCAGCTCCATTGGCAGAAAAGGAGTCACTTCAGAGTAAGCCTCGTGTAAATCAGAGCATCACCCTGACGCAGGAAGCGTCTGGGCTCTCCTCTCAGCCCACCCGCCCTGAGCCGGGGCTCTCCCTGGGCAGTTGGCGCGCTCGAATATTGCACATCGAGCCGGGATAGGAGTTGGGTCCCTGGCCGGTTGGGTTCTCCCTTTTGTTGGTGATTTCCTCTGCAGATTCTGTGTTGTTCTCTCTTCTCGGTCACCGCGGCTCCCCCGAGAAGCCCCAGGAAATGAGACCAGAGCCTTTGAACCGCGGATCTACCCCGCTGTCGCCAAGTCGCACAAAAGGAAAGGTAATCTGCGGGCGGGGTAGAGAACAGGATCCCTGGCGATTTGGTGCTGTGGGTGGCAGACCCGGCAATGCCTCGCGGGTTAAGCGTCCCAGCCACATCTCCATTGTTTCCAAAGGATGCACCTACCTGGCCCAGCCCTAACCTGGGCCCAGACTTTATCAGCCCTGGTGTTGCATGTGTCTTGTTTGGGTTTGGAAACAACAAGGCTAAACTTAGCGCCATTTTCAAGTCCGTCTCTAACGCCAGGTGTCCGCTACAAAGTCTTGTCGGACTAGCTAATGTCGTTAACGCAAGAGCTAGGGGTCACCACATGAAATGAATAGGTAGCAGGATGAAAACAAACAAAAGGAAGTTTTTCGTCACGCAGCGCACTGTTAACCTGTGGAACTCCTCGCCAGAGGATGGTGTGAAAACCAGGACTTTAACAGGGTTAAAAAAAACTAGATAAATTCATGGAGGTTAGGACCATCAATGGCTATTAGCCAGGATGGGTAGGAATGGTGTCCCTAGCCTCTGTTTGTCAGGGGCTGGGGGTGAGTGACAGGGGAAGGATCACTTCATGATTCCCTGTTCTGTTCACTCCCTCTGGGGCACCTGGCATTGGCCACTGTTGGCAGACAGGACAGTGGGCTAGATGGACCTTTAGTCTGACCCAGTGTGGCCGTTCATATGTTCTTATGTTCAGGGAGGCCGTCTTACTGTGCCAACAGAGGAACACTGTCTTCTGGCACAAGCTGCATCTATTAGGGATTGACAAGTGTAACCGTTCAAACAATTAACCGATAGGCCTGGGTTTATTCGTTACCGTTAATGGTTACATGCAGGCTCCTGTCCACTCCTGAGGAGCCCGGCTGCCGTCCTGCATTGCCGAGATTCGCAGCAGTTACACAATCCCCGAGCGTCTATAGCCGGGGACTGTGCCAGGCTGGCATTTGTAGTGCAGTCAAGGCCTAAGGCAGGCTGGGCCGCATTTTCAGAGCCTTGGTCACCAGCTCCCCTGGGTTTGTCCATTTCACTTCTCCTTCTCCAAGTTTAGCCATGTTGCTTCCAAACCCAAACAAGAATAAAGAAAAGTGATTGACTTGTTCCCATAATCTAAGAACTAGAGGACACCAAATGAAATTAATGGGTAGTAGGTTTAAAACTAATAAAAGAAAGTTCTTCGTCACACAGCGCACGGTTAACCTGTGGAACTCCTTGCCAGAGGAGGCTGTGAAGGCTAGGACTATAACAGAGTTTTAAAAAAGCTAGATAAATTCCTGGAGGTTAGGTCCATAAAAGGCTATTAGCCAGGGGGTAGGCATGGTGTCCCTGGCCTCCGTTTGTCAGAGGCTTGAGATGGATGGCTTGTTCATTGTCTTCAGTCCATCCGCTCTGGGGCACCTGGTTCTGACCACTGTCGGCAGACAGGAAACTGGGCTAGATGGATCTTTGGTCTGACCCAGTACGGCCGTTCCTATGTTCTTATGTACTTCCTCTGCAGGCAGAGCCCCACGCTCGTGGCTGCAAACCCAGCAGCACTCCCCCCCACCCCCCGCCCCCATCGTCTTTCATTAACCTCCCAGCTGCGCTTTCCCTGCCTGCGTGTGGAGAGCGATGGGCTGACTGGGAGGAGTTTTGGAGCAGGGGGGCTCCAGGACAGGTCTGTATCCAGGCAGGGGATAATGTCGAGGGAAGGAGGGTTGGCTCTGGATCGGTCTGGGGCGCCGCTGCTTGTTCAGGATTTCACCGACTCAGGGGGACCTTGTGAGGCAGGCGTCTCGCTGCCGCCGGGAGCCCTCTGCCCGCAGGGATGGGGACCGGGGACGCCCGTCGTGTGAGTGACCCGCTGGGGTGTGCTCCTGCTAGGTGGCCAGAAAGTCTCCTTCGCTGGCGGCTGAACTCACTCGCTGAGTGGGAGAAACCTGAAGCCACTGAAGGAGACGGGACCAAGAACCAGGAGCCGGATCCAGGGCAGGATAGTCCTTCTCCAAGCGGTAAGGTCCTCAGCCTCGGGAGCCAGAAGAGGGCTGGGGGTGCGGGCTGGGTGGCGGTGGGAAATGTGGTGTAGGAGGAGCCTCCGCATACTTAATCAGTGCTAGATGCGGTGTCTGTAAACAGAGCCAGGCAATGCAACGCCTCGGGGGCCCCGCTCCATAAGGGGCTCTCAGACCTTCCCGAACATCCATAACAGCAGCCTCCTCTAACCCACAACAGTGGCCTTCCACCACTGGGGAGGGGACGCTTTGTTGATCTCCCTTGGTGGTGACGAGGGTGGGTCCAAGATCCAGGGCCCCGGGCGCTGGACAAACCAAGAACCTGCCCCTCCCAGCCATACACGGAGGACTCCGCTCGACTCAGGATCTGTGCACCCGGCCACATGCAAACCAATAGTAGCGATGCTCCTTGCCCCAGGGCGCTCCCCCCCCCCTTTTTCTCCTCCCCAGAACACATCAAGGAGCGGAGACACGTCGGCTTTGCAGAGAGACCCCCGCACTCTGTGAACGTCGAGAACAGTTAGTTTGGGTGGCAGAAGGAAGACGGAGGAAACTGTCCCCTCGAAGGACCGCGCTCGTCTTCCTGCTCCACGCCGTGGATTCTCTTTCCTTAACGGCTTCGTTTACTTTATTCCCCCCTCCACCCCAATTTCCTTTCTCATCTCTCTGGTTTTTCCCGTCACCCGCCAGTGGCTGGCTTGTCTATGTGAAGTGAATTTAATGCTGGCGAAAGGCGGCAGCTTGACAGATGTTTGAAAGCCTTTGCATGTCCATCTAGATGATAGAGGTGGGCAAGTCCTCTTGCTACGGGGCGCTGAATCCATCCCAGGCCGGGAAGCTACTGCAAGATTTTCCCTTTTCTCCATTTACTTAGCGCTCTAGCCTATCCATCAAAACGTGCCAAACTCTGGGGCTTCCATCCGTCCCTTGGGAGACAATCCCATGTCCCGGTGCAGTACAGAGGCCAAACTTCCCTTGCGTCCTCAACCGGGGAGTTCAGTCTTTTGGGGCCATTCAGGGAACGTCTGCACTGCAACACTATTTCGAAATAACCAGCGCTATTCTGAAATAACTGAGTCCGCGTCTACACAGCAGGTAGTTATTTCGAAATCGTGCCAACGTACCGTCAAGCTGGAGGACTTCTTACTCCAGCTGTTTGGAAAAAGAGCTGCAATTTGCGTCTTTTTCTGCTTTTCTTCCAAAAGAGGCTTTTCCACCATTTCGTCTGTCTACACGGGACCAAATGTCGAAAAAACCTTCTTTCGGAACATCCCTTCTTCCTCATAAAACGAGGTTTGCAGGGATGCCGAAAAAACATGCCTGCTTTTCCGAATTTGTTTCGGAAAAGCAGACGCGTTCCTTAGACGCGGCAGAGTTTTTCTGGGAGACCTCTGGTATCCCGCCTGCCCCAGCTCCGCCCGACCAGAGCCGAGCCGAGCAGACCCCCGGGGGACCCGGCACTCGAACCCACGACCCTCTCCTTGCCCCAGGGGGCTCAATCTACAGCGGCTGCATCTTCTCTCCCCCCCTCTACCCTCCGCGTCCTGTAACCCTCATTGCACGAGGAATAAGGGCAGTCGGAGGAAGAGGGCTCCGTTTCGAAATAAGTGCTGTGTAGATGCTCCCGATCTCAAAATAAGCTACGCAATGGACGTAGCTCGGTTTGTGTAGCTTATTTCGAATTAAGCCCTCAGCGTTGCCCTCTTTGCTGGGGCCTGCCAAACGTTGGGTGGTGAGCAAAGAGTGTCAAATAGCGATTCATCGGAGGGGGGTCCCCTGCCCACACGAACAGACCTGAGACTCACGAGTCTTGGAGTTGTTCTTGCATGAGATGCCCTAGGGTATGGGAGGGATTCCTTCCTTCCTTTCCCCTTCTCCTTCCCCTTCCTTCCTTCCTGGTGACGATCAGGTCTTTAGTGCCACTGGGGTGTACGTTTCATGAAAGCAAACCAGGCCTGAGCTCCTCTGAAGAGCCGCAGCGTGCGAGGGGGCCGCCGGGGCAAACTCCAGCTCCCTGTTGCAGAGGGAAGCCCAGGGCGACCTGAGAGTTTGAGGAGGATTCCCTCAGCAGAGCATCTCCGTGACTTTCAGTCCAGCAGAATCCAGGTGTAGGGACACCGAACACAGGAGACAGGGCAGGCAGGAGCACTTGAAAAGGAAAGTGTGACATAGAAGGGGGGACCAGATCATAGCGGACTGCCAGCCCCGGAGCCTGAAGTCCTCCGGTTCATATCCCGAGGGCAGACAGGCTCCGCCTCAGCTTCCCCCAGAATCGTGCCTCCAGCTGGATCTGCACAAGGACCCAGCTCTGGCTCCTCAAAACTGTTGTCGGTGCCTAACTCCCCTAGAGCCCCCACCTCTGGCAAGGGAGAAGAGAGTCCAGAGGCCGGTTTGTGCCAGGGAGGGTGATTTTTGCCACGTGGCCACTTACCTTCCGGGACCTGAGCCAAGAACCCCTCCCTTGTTCCACGGACGCTTCGGACGGCTAGCGGCCTGAGCTGGATTGGAACCAGCCCCCTCGAGGGAACGTTAACATGGAACAGGCAAGAAGTTCTTTTATTTGCCAAATGCTGTTTTCCATGGTTCGGTCCTCCCTACGGGGGGGGGGCTGCGAGCAAGAGGCAGCTTCTTAGCCTAGTTTAGGTCTCTCTCTCTCTCTCTTTTCCTCTCTGTACCCTTTGATCCTGTATTGAGCAATGCCCCTTCCATGCACCCGACCAGCTCCTTGTGGCTGTAATAAAGCTTTGTAAATAACCACGTGCAGTTTGTTTGATTGGGAGAGGGGGAAGGAGGCGCAGTAGGCCTGGCTCTTCCTCCCTAGGTCACCAAGTGCCCAGGAACAAATCCAAGAGCTCCCAGGAGCAGGTTTATGCAGTAAGTGCATGAGGCGGGCACCTGACCTGGTGTCATGATCAGTGCCTCTTTGCTGGTAAGCAGAAGACTCGGCCGCAACTCGGAGTTCCTCGTGCTCCAGGGGGCTTGGGGAGCTGCAGAGATGGCGACAGAGGGCATGTGGGCTGCAGTGCCAGTTGGTTAAAGCGGAGATTGCTGTCTGAGCCTGACAGTACTGCCCTCTGCCCAAGGATGGGAAAGGTGGGGGAAATAAAACCAGGGCCAGTGGGGCATTCAGGGGCCTCTCTGCTGAAGCCACCAACCAATGGATCAGACAGTAATAACTTCCCACCACAGCTGGGCCAGAATAGAGCAGTAACCTAGAGCTGCTGCTGGTCTCCACAGCTCGCTGCTGGGTACATGACGTCTGCAGTGCTAGCTATTGGTGACAATTGGCCAGTAAGTCT